CCATAATATTCCCAGCACCTATCTCACCACCTGGCACATAATAGAGCTCAATAACTACTGTTTGAAAAAAATACATGACTCCACTTTTAGATGCAATTCTGATGTTGTACCTCTGCATATGAGTCTCTGACTCTCTAATTTTGGCAGATCAACCAGGAACAACAGACAGCCAAAAGGAAGAGATGTATGTTATCTATCCTGTTCTTAGCATAATCCTATCCCCTTCAAAAGCACACGCACATAGAAAGCAACTCAAGCAATCTAAAGTAATCGTAAGGTCTTAAGTTTTCCAAAATTTTAGAACTTCAGTGCTGAAATGACTTAGGTTCGCTTACAACTGAGGAAACTGAGGTTCACGATTTATCCAATGACAGATAACTATTTTGTGATATAGCTGTTTCCCTCTACAAACTTCCCACATTAGTGTCCAAAAGACCATAAGATTTCAGCCAAAAAGTGAATTGCACTGAGTATTAGAGTTAATTAACCATTAATCAGTTTAATGCAAAGAGGGTTTAGCATTTCAAAAACACTTTTTTCTTTTTCCCCATAACTACCTACTTAAAAAAAATACACTAAAGAGAAAAAGTGTGATTTAACATCTTAATTACAAGTTCACATTTGTACTGATAAGAGTCAGGATTTTAGATTTTAGTTTCATTTAAAAACAACAACATTTTTCCATGTAGCAAAAACAAAAGAATACCCTTCTTGATCCCCTGTCATTTCAAAATGTGCTATGTATTAAAACCATAGTTTTAATATGAAATTTTCTCAGTGAGCACATATGTACTCTTTTTATAATGAGGAATAAATTAGTTACCTAAAAAAAACTCTGTAATGGATGTTATAAAGGGAAACGGTTTATAGGGTATTATCATGAGTATAAAACAGGCTACAGAATGGTATGTACAATACTGTTTAAACTGGTTTAAAAATGCATTAGGAAACAAATAGAGGAAATATCAAGATACCAATACTGGTTGAATTAGATTAAGTGACAAAGTGACTTGCTAAGGTCATACGGTCAATGAGAAGTAGAGCTGGAATGTATTACAGTTCATTATTTTCTATCCCACCTTATATAAAAAGGTGCCAACTCTTTGAATGAAATGACTTTTTTGCTTATCTGCAGTGGTGGATATCACAAACATTATGCATGGACCTTTTTTTGGTCCATGCTATCGTTAGTATTAAGTGCATTTTATGTGTGGCCCAAGACAATTCTTCCAGTGTGGCCCATGGAAGCAAAAGGGTTGGATACCCATGGAACTGTTAAACTTTCAGAGGGTCAGAACTATCACTGCTACTGATGGCAGCCAACCAGCAAAGAATCGGGGAACTTGTATATGTAGCTGAAATATCAATAAAAATAAGTTAGAATTGATTTATAAAGTCCTACATTTTTAAAAAAATGAAAAATGTTCCTTTAATCCAGTCTAACAGGTATCAATCCATTTGAGTAAAACTGATTGTGCTCACAAACTGTGACGGGCCCAGATAGGTGCTTATTCACAAAGACCTTAGTATTTTAGAGGGGAAAGAGTTACACATCTAGATTCCTACAATATAAGGCAGGCATGAGAGGTGTCCAGTGATCTCTCAACCAAGTGCTACGGAAACATCCATGAGAAAGACAGACGTTTCATTCATTCCTTTACCTTTAGGAAAATCTCTCTGAAGAAAGGGCTTTTATCTTTTTTCTTCCACATGCTATGGGTGGAGATGACTGGTTGCATACGTGGCGTATCTTGAAAAATATGAAATCTGGAACCAGAAGACCTGACCTATCTCTTATAAGACATATAACTTCAAACAAATCACTTTCTAAGGCTGCCAACCAGAGAACATTTCCTGTAGTGAGTACCACACTCGAAACTTCCAGTGAAGCTTATAGTGAAGGGTGGGAGGGAGCATTCTTTTCAGAAAAACAATTCGTAAAGTCTCTAACTCAGAATGAGAGGCCAGGAGCTTCAGTTTTTCAGCTTTGCAAATACGCACTACAAGACACAGAAACCATGGGGAAACGTAGTACAAAAGCAGAACTAACAATAGATGTTGCTATAACTTCATTAATTCAAAGAATGACTTTGCTACCTATGTTTCCATAGGTTTTTGCCAAAGCATATATCTGACTGTAAAAATGGAATGCTGTATTTGTGCTAGTCAGAATTTATCACTTACCTGGTATTTCAAACAAAACCTTACATAGTTTTTATCATTATAATCAAGAACATCAAACTAAACTAAGAAAAATACACAACTCTTTTCAAACATAAAAATAAGGTGCTAGATTTCACTGATAAACTATATGGAGAAGAAATAAACCAGAAGGTAAAAGTGAGGAAAAAATTACTTATGAAAATCATGGATATACACTGCAATAGAATTATTTAGACCTAAGAAGTTCACAGTAAAGGAAACACTAGAAAGCTCAATCATGTTGTGCTTGTAAAATTAAGAATGAAACTAGAAATTTTTATAAAAATTAGATAAATGTTTTATTTCAAAAGAGAAAAAAACAGCTGGGCTACAGTTAAATTTAACATACAAACTGAAAGCAACACACCTGTTTAGGGAAAAGAAAGTTATGTTCAAATTGGTAAAGTTGTAAAAACCACTTTTGCAAAGTAATTTGAAGAGATCCTGCTGGTTTCTCTCCTACCTCACTCCCCAATACAATATCCCTTTTTTAAAAATTATTATTAGTACAACAATTACAAACAACCTAAGAATTTCGCTTCATGTCCCACAACGTAAAACCAAGAGAAAAAGTTTTTTCAAAGTCAGTCGATAATCCCTGCTCTACTTGAGAGCCTATATCTTTCTACTTTAATGAAAACCAATCTTCTCTCTAGTTAATAAAGAATATCACAAAGAGAGAAACAGGCACTCATAGAAATGGGATCCTTGCACAAACCTCAATATTCATTACATGTTTACAAAATCATCACTCCTTAAAAAAAAAGAAAGAAGAAGAAAAACCAAAACCCACACAGATAGACTACCCCATTTAATTTTATTATGAAAATGGAAGTAACAACAGGAAACGGCAGCAGGGTATTTGATAAGCTCAATTAGCAGGAGGATCAAATGAAGTGGTGACATGCCATTATGACCTCAGGGGTTAAAGATTCAATTTTCCATCTGGTGAAATCTAGATTTCCAACACGAATGCTGACACCACCTGCTGTATGTTATTAGGCATTATCTTGAGCAATCCCTAAGCATTTTCTGTACAACAGGTATAGCCTCAAGCTTTTTCATATTTCATTCTGCAATATAATTGCTTTCCCATGAAGAGAAATAAAAAATAAATCCCATATTTATTCAAAACATTCAAAACAGCTCATTCAAAACAGACATTAAAATCCACACTAAAGCATTTATTTATCAATCATGGCAGTAGCAAAAATATCCAGATCATTTTTCTTCTAAGTCACAATTGACATTGTAGCTATCATAGGAGTCATTCCAATTAAGAGTTCCCTTCATAGGTTTTTGTTTTGTTTTTTTAATACAGACAGGATCTCACTATGTTGCCCAGACTGGTCTTGAACTCCTGAACTCAAGCAATCCTCCCACCTCGGCCTCCCAAAGTGCTGGGATCACAGGCATGAGCCAACATGCCTGGCCCATTTATAGGTTCTTAATTAATAGCCTCTTGCTACTGAAATGGAATTTCGCCCTGTTTACTAAGAATCAGATCTACAGAACTTCACAAAATGAAAATTCACTGGCCGGGCGCGGTGGCTCACACCTGTAATCCCAGTACTTTGGGAGGCCGAGGTGGGTGGATTATGAGGTCAGGAGATTGAGATCATCCTGGTTAACACAGTGAAACCCTGTCTCTACTAAAAAATACAAAAAATTAGCCAGGCATCCAGGCATGGTGGCACACGCCTGTAATCCCAGCTACTCAGGAGGCTGAGGCAGAAGAATCGCTTGAACCTGGGAGGCAGAGCTTGCAGTGAGCCGAGGTCGCGCCACTGCACTCCTGCCTGGGTGAGAGTGAGACTCCGTCTCAAATAAATAAATAAATAAATATTCACCGCATTTCAAAATTTAATAGTTAATCTATTATGTTTCTTTGACGCAATGGTAAACACTTTTAAAAATGTTTATATACCGAGTGCTGGAGCCCATCTGTGAGTGTTCGGACCCTTCCATACATGCGTTATCAAGAATCATGCCATTAGGCTCTGCAGGTGGTAAGCCAGTGGCTAGCCAATGAATGCAGAGCTCTCATCTGGATTCATTTGATGTGGTTTGCATACTAAAATGTTTGCACACACAAACATGAAGGCACATACATCTACACACACACTCTACTGTAAGTGAACTATAAATACAAGTTCAGATACTCAGTCTTGAGATTTCATACTGGACAGTCAACAGCAAGGCAATAAATATCACAACTGTTTTAATACCTGTTTTCCAAGATATAACAATACCAATTTTTTCTAATAAAATTAACTTTTCACCATCTGTACCTTCTTCCCTAAGAACATTCATCAAGCTTCCCATGTTAATCCAGTTACTTTTTAGTGTTTGGTAGGTCTATGGGTTCCCTTCTCATTAAAACTTATTCCTGACCAGCCATGGTGGCTCACGCCTGTAATCCCAGCACTTGGGAGGTCGAGGCGGGCGGATCACCTGAGGTCATGAGTTCGAGACCAGCCTGGTCAACGTGGTGAAACCCCATCTCTACTAAAAATAAAAAAATTAGCCGAGAGTGGTGGCATGGCCTGTAATCCCAGCTACTAAGGAGGCAGAGGCACAAGAATCACTTTAACTTGGGAGACAGAGGTTGCAGTGAGCCGAGATCGCACCAATGCACTCCAGCCTGGGTGACAAGGGCAAACCTCTATCTCAAAACAATAAATAAATAAAAAATAAACCTTAGTCCTTAGGTGATTTCGTTTTCTTCCTCCTGGGTAAATAGATATGTCAGCAATGTGAGCATCTAAAAATTCATAAGTAACTCTCTAAAAACTTACTTGACTTTCTGAATCCATACACAGTAGTCTGAGATGTAGAGATCATTCAGTATGTATGCTGGGTCGTTTTCCTGAAAAATTTTGTGAATATCCAAGAGACACTTTAAAACTGCACTTTTACCTGAAGAAAATTGAAAAAAAACATAAAATTATCCTTAAGAAAAAGAAATTCAGATCCTGAGAGGTAATATATTTAAAGCAGTTTAGAATCCTGATCATTTCTTAAGAATATTTTTAAACGCAAAAAAATTTACGAGTCCTATAAGGTCTAAATCCCTTTACTGACTTCCTTAAGAATCACACATAATCTTTGGCCGGACGCGGGGCTCACACCTGTAATCCCAGCATTTTGGGAGGCTGAGGTGGGCAGATCACGAGGTCAGGAGATCGAGACCGTCCTGGCTAACACGGTGAAACCCCGTCTCTACTAAAAATACAAAAAATTAGCTGGGCGTGGTGGTGGGCGCCTGTAGTCCCAGCTACTCGGGAGGCTGAGGCAGGAGAATGGCGTGAACCCAGGAGGCGGAGCTTGCAGTGAGCTGAGATCATGCCACTGCACTCCAGCCTGCGTGACAGAGCTAGACTCCATACCCCCCCTCCCAAAAAAAATTACGTATAATCTTTATATTCTATTGTTACAGCTGACTAGTTGTGGTTATCATTAAAATGCTAAGAAATACAACTAGGTCTATTAAATGAAAGGCAGGAAGTTTTCTAAACCAAATGAATATTTAAATGCATCATAATTTTAATTAGATAATGTTCTTCCAATTCAAGCTTTCAAAATAACATGGAAAACTGTATTCTAAATTTCAAACTTCTTTTTATTTCTTATGTCAACATTTTCTGTCAAGGAATTATCTACTAATAAATTATTTTATCTTAAAGAATTGAAGAAAACTCAGTTTGAACACTCAAACATCATAGCACTACTTCAGAAATAAGCTGACAAAACTCATATGAACAAAAGCCATCAAGGATTAAAGTCTTGTTCAACCTAACTACTTCCTCCTGGTTTTTAAATGAACCTAATTTTAACCTAACCAAAGTCCACAAAAGGAGCCTTTTACAATTCAACAATTCCCTAGGTGTTCCACACTTCATGATATTCCCTGAAATTTATTAATTATAAGGTGAACTATTAATACCATATCTAGAGTATTACCACTTTCTTTGACCTGTGAAATTCAGTATTTTCAGTTTAACAGTTTCATTCTTATCTTCACAGTTCTGAAACACAGAAATACTGTATACTGAGTTCATGAAGACACTCGATGCGCTTTCATCGACATTTCTCATTTAACTTTTAGATCATAAAAGAATCATGAGCTAGATGATGACATCTCAAGATCCTAAAATTGCTGACACTAAATTTTTAAACATAATTAACACTAGAAAGTAAGTTTCGAAAGAGCAGGGGCTTCTGTTTTACTTAGTGGTTAATCCCCAATACCTAGAACAGAACACTGCAGTAGCAGGTTTTCCATTTAAGTAGTCTAAGAATGAATGAATACATGACAGACACAGTAATCAGCCAGCTTAAATCCTTAAAATTTCTTTCATTCTACAGTCTCACCTATCAAATCCTGATGATTTTTCCTTGGAAATGCTCCTTGTATCTGCCCTTTGTCTGCCACCGCCTGAGCTCCTATGTTCACTCATATTCTCATCTCATGTCTCGATTTTAAGAATCTTCTTGCCCATCTTTCAGATTCCAGACTCTACCCCTTCTAACACACATTTTTTAATGCACTGTTTTCATGGAATCTCTTCCCTGCATATGTTCTCAATGCTCTTTCTACAGACTTGTTTCCACGCCTTTTTCCCTTCTCATGTGACCTAGCCCGCTATCAAGGTCTAGCTCCAGTCTTCACTCCTTCGGGAAGCTCTGGGCTGACTTTCCTAGTCTTCACGGTCCTTTACTAAATGCTGCAAAGAAGTGGAAAGGAAACTCAAAATGGGGAGTATCCTCCCCAAACCTCTCCTGTTCAATTCCCAGAAGGAAAACTGGATGCTCCAGGATGGGCAAGATACAGGGCCACTGAGTTGAGGGACCAGGATCTAAATTCCAATCTTAATGGCTCCAGAGGCTACCCACTGTGCCACGCTACCTGTATGTTCTTACCCCATCCAGTCTATATCACGTTTTTATTACTCAAGGACTTATTAGTGACTTTAACCCCTAAGTAGGTAGTAAGTCCTTGAAAACAGAGTCCATGCCTTTTTAAAAAATATTAACTTGGTGGCTTCCTCATATGCAGATACAATAATGAATGAATGAAGAATGTCAATGGAAGCTCCACTGCTAGACTGATTGTGAAGAGAAACTAATATTTAGAAGGCCTAAAGCTATAAGATGTCAAGTTGATTTGGTTAAGTCAAGGTCAGTGCTTATCAAAGTGGCCCAGGTTAACTATGTCCAATGATTAGTGTGGATCACCCAACAACAAGCCTATTTTAATTACAAACTAGGTAATGTTGAGAGCAGAGTTTGATGAAAGGAGGAGGAAATATAATCAAAATCTGCAGGCATGATGAAACCATGTTTGCCACATTAGCCATATTACCCAAAGAATCAAGGAACAACTGACCTGTGAGAATGTTTTGAAGTTTTAATCGCCACAGAGAAGACAAATGTCACAGTAAGCATATGCCAACTAATTTCTTTCTTGCTTTCCCTCTCTCTCTCTTTTTAGAGGAAGGAGGGTGCACAGGGAAGGAGTTAGTTTTAAAAGCACTAAAAGTTTTAAATGTCAATCATAAGTCTTTACTGGAAAAACGAACTATTCTCTTGTAACTTGAATAAGCTTCTCTGCTGTGTGACACCTCCAAAATACTATCTCTCAAGATCCCACACTTTACTAATATAAACAGGTTAACAGAAAATGCAGGATTCAGGCTAGGTGTGGTGGCTCACGCCTGTAATCCCAGCACTCTGGGAGGCCAAGGAAGGCAGATCACGAGGTCAGGAGTTTGAGACCAGCCTGGCCAGCATGGTGAAACCCCATCTCCACTAAAAATATAAAAATGAGCCGGGCGTGGTAGTGCGTGCCTATAGTCCCAGCTACTCAGGAGGCTGAGGCAGGAGAATAGCTGGACCCGGGGAGGCAGAGGTTGCAGTGAGCCAAGATCACGCCACTGCGCTCCAGTTTAGGTGACAGAGTGAGGCTCCTAAGGAAAAGAAAAGGAAAGGAAAAGAAAGGAAAGGACAGGAAAGGAAAGGACAGGAAAGGACAGGACAGGACAGGAAAAGAAAAAGAAAAAGAAAAAGAAAAGAGAAAAGAAAGAGAAAGAAAAAGAAAATGTAGGATTTGGAGAAAACCATTTGGCTGGAGCAAAGAGTTCACGTAGGCAAAAAAGGGAGAAGCAGCAGATGAGTTTGGTAGAAATCAGACAGTAACAAGGAGGAAGAGAAGAATGCACTTGGACAGACTGAGTGAGAATGTTTCTAAACTTAGGTGTAGGCAGTAGGAATAAAGGACCCTACTCCGGAAATCGTAATGTAGAAAGGTACGGAGTTAAGGTCACATATTTAAGGAGGATCCACAGCAGCCATTACCTAGTAAAATTATATACAGCTTCATTCAGCAGACATGCCTAAAGTGAGGTTGCCCTCCTGCTAAAGGCCACAGGCAAATTTAAATCTTCCAGCTATCACAAAAAATAATAATAATAATAATGAAAAGAAATGTCAAATAATAGGCAGGGCATGGTGGCTCATGCCTTCAATCCCAGCACTTTGGGAAGCCAAGGTGGGCAGATCACCTGAGGTCAGGAGTTCGAGACTAGCCTGGTCAACATGGCAAAACCCCGTCTCCATAAAAATACAAAACTGAGTCGGGCGTGGTGGCATACATCTGTAATCCTAGTTACTCGGGCGGCTGAGTCAGGAGAATCACTTGAACCCAGGAGATGGAGGCTGCAGTGAGCAGAGATCGCACCACTGCACTCCAGCCTGAGCAACAGAGCAAGACTCTGTCTCAAAAACAAACAAAAGAAATGTCAAATAACAAAAAATAAGAAATGTCAAATTTTTTTTTAATTTAAAGAGAAGAAATTACATTGTATTTGCATGGTCTGATTCCTATTTTCTAAAAAAAAAAAAAAAAAAAAGACAAATACTCATTTAAAAAATGCTGGGCGGGGCACAGTGGCTCATGCTTGTAATGCCAACACTCTGGGAGGCCAAGGCTGGCAGACCACCTGAAGTCAGGAGTTCAAGACCAGCCTGGCCAACATGGTGAAACCCTGTCTCTACTAAAAACACAAAAATTAGCCAGGCATGATAGCAGGTACCTGTAGCCCCAGCTACTTGGGAGGCTGAGGCGAGAGAATCGCTTGAACCTAGGAAGCGGAGGCTGCAGTGAGCCAAGATCACGCCACTGCACTCAAGCCTGGGCGACTTGAGAGTGAGATTCCATCACAAAAAATAAATAAAAGAAAAATTAAAAATTCTAGACGTATATACCCAAATGATATTAACAGTATCAGTCTCGGCCGGGCGCAGTGGCTCAAGCCTGTAATCCCAGCACTTTGGGAGGCCGAGACGGGCGGATCACGAGGTCAGGAGATCAAGACCATCCTGGCTAACCCGGTGAAACCCCGTCTCTACTAAAAAATACAAAAATCTAGCCGGGCGAGGTGGCGGGCGCCTGTAGTCCCAGCTACTCGGGAGTCTCGAGGCAGGAGAATGGCGTGAACCCAGGAGGCGGAGCTTGCAGTGAGCTGAGATCCGGCCACTGCACTCCAGGCTGGGCGACAGAGCGAGACTCCGCCTCAAAAAAAAAAAAAAAAAAAAAAAAAACAGTATCTGTTTCTACGTTCACTGAGCAAATATATGAGAGCCTATCATGCACCTGACATTGTTCTACATGTGGGAGTACAGCTGTTTATTCTTTTCTATACTTCCCTCTATTTTCAAAACTGTCCACAAGAAACATTCATCATTTGTTTAACAAAAATTAAGACAAGTTCAACTACACAGCCAACGCCTGAAAAATTGACAAACGAAGGTTACAAATTTGAATTCACATTTTAAATTATAAACAACTGAGAAGCAATATTTAGATTAAGATTTAAAAATTATATTGCACGGCAGTTTTGAAAGGGAAAGTTATATGC